GTGGACATATAAGTCCCTTTGCACCTTAAGTTGGCCTCGCCGATAGTCGGGTCGCTTTGAGAGTAATCTCTCCGATAGTCGGGTCATTCTGAGAGTAATCTCTCTGATAGTCGGGCCACATTGAGAGTAATTTCTCCTATAGTCGGGCCATTTTGAGAGTAATTTCTCCGATAGTCGAGCCACATTGAGAGTAATCTCTCCGATAGTTGGGCCATTTTGAGAGTAATCTCTCCGATGGTCGAGCCACATTGAGAGTAATCTCTTCGATAGTCGGGCTGTTTTGAGAGTAATCTCTCCGATAGTCGAACCACATTGAGAGCAATCTCTCCAATAGTCAGGCCGTTTTGAGAGTAATCTCTTCGATAGTCGAGCCAAATTGAGAGTAATCTCTCCGATAATCGGGTCGGGATGAGTACTCATCCCTTCACACGATAAGATCGCCTTCTTCATGCGTGGATCATCTTGTTGAACAAAAACATATCTTTCTCGCTTGACCTACAAAAAGAAAATAAAACAACAAAACAAGAAAAGAAAGAAAAAGAAATTACCTCAAATACTAGCACTTTCCGATCGTTAAAGAAACGAACTCAAGAGCAGCTTGAAGATGCTGATAGCTGATTGATACTCAAAATATATGAGAATATGGGGTTTATATAGATTCTTCAAAGTGGCTGCGGGAAAATAAATACCGATGTGGGATGGTTGTAATCGAACTCCAAAAAGAATTCATATTGTAAGAATCATTCTCCTATTTGGGCAAGGTTAATATGAGGTGGTGATTTATTTATGCCATACTAAGCAAAGCTATCAAAGCTATTATACTGCCAATGTGATTCTAGTATACTAATCCGAGGTGCAAGCGACTCACGTGAAAGTAGGTGCACATAACTTTGACTCTTTAGACTTTGATAGAAATTAATCCATAAGTGCTTCATATTTAGTAGTATGGAATTAATGAATGAGATATATACTCTAAATGGATACTAGAAGGCCCAAAATTCAGCACAGTGTGTGATTTGGTTGACTTGGCATGGATTACAATGCAATTTCAGTTGCAAAGAATGTGATAGTCAAAGGACATGCATGTCCCACTTCAATGGGCAAATGAAACCATTTTGTTGTATTCCCGAATTAAAATGCTACTTTAGAAGTAAAACTTAATAAATTGAACGGTCCAGTCGTCCTAAGCTTTGGAGACGATTCGAGTTTGTGGAAAAAAAGATATTTTTATCCAAGCTACTAGCAAATGGAAATATGTCTAAATTAGTTCGTACTTCCAGACGTGATTCGGTTTCAACGAGTCTACACCTTGACAAGTCTTGAAGTAGGGGCATTTGTAGGCATACAAAATTTATTGAATTTAAATTCAATAAGTAATTTGGATTATATTTTTAATTCAAGGTATATTGGTCCAAATAAATATTATGGGCTAATATAATTGACCTAATTATATAAATCCAATAAATATGGATTAAATCAATAAGTCTTAATCCATTGAGCTAGCCCATTTAAATTGGGTTAAAATAATGAGCTCACTTCATTAAGCCCAAGATGTCATCTTTCTAGAGGCCCAGTTTGGTGTCATGTGTCAAATGACGTGGCGGACCAAATCAAGCGGGAGAGCCAATATGATCATGCCACGTGTCAAAATGACAAGGCATGCCCAGTCATACGGAAAGGCCAATGAAATCGTGCCACGTGTGCAAGTGACATGTTCTGGCCAATCAAATGCGGTCATGTCACACTTCAATTTGATTGGTCGGAAAGAGTTTGTTCTTATCACAACTCTTCTCTCCCACAATTATAAATATGGGTCTTCATAACCTAGAAAAGGGACCAGAAGTTATAACAAGAAAAAAAAAAGAGCTCGTGGATCAAACGCCGCAAATTTCTCCACAAGTTTCAAGCTTCAAGCAATCAAGTTCAAGCTCAATAACAAGAACGAATCAAGATCAAGTTCAAGCTCAAGAACAAGATCATCGTTCGTGGAAACAAATACAGATTCAAGATCAAGCTCAAAGGCCCTTGAATTTATTTATTATTGGAAGGAAGAATCAGAGGATTTATAGAGATTGTACACTCAAATATTCGAAATCAAATACTACGATTGTTGCGATATTTTTCGGTCTTGATTTTATTTTCTCGACACAAATTTATTGTCTACGGTGTTTATCCATGAAATTTTGTAAGTTTTTTAGAGATATTTTGAAAATGAGTTTTTCATAAAGAATTCCAAAAAAAAACTTTTTATTTCGCTCACAAAATTATAATATATTTTCAAGTCAATGTACAAACATAATTTTAAATTTCAAATATCATTTTAAACTTTAACTTTAAATATTAATTTTTTCAAAGATTACAATTTTTATATCCAAACGCCTACTAAAAATCGCTCTAGCAGTTTTCACTTTTTATATGTTGATTAACACATGAAATACAAGCATTAATAGATGAAGCTATTACACTGATTTCTAGCACTAACTATACTTCTTCCTCTCTGGTATATGACTAACGAAGCAAATGGGAATCAAGCAGAGCCAGCACACATCTGTCGGCTTTTCATTATACACTTGGTTATGGTTGGAGAAGCCCGTCCATCCTACCATAACCCTAGTAACTCTAAGGTGTTTGTCCTTATTTTTTTATTATATTTAAGTTTTTTAATGAACAGTAGTTATTGTTTCGTTATGACCGTTCCATATTTTTTGGTGTTTTAGGACCATAGAATTGGAATTAAGAATGATTCGAAGATTTTCATGTGCTATAGTTCACGTTATCTGCATGAATTCGGACGACCGATCTCGAATCTCCAAAAAATTTAGTGGGTCCATAAAAAACGACCTAATGAACAATAGTCATCGCTTTGCCATGATCGTTCCTCATTTTTTGGCATTTTAGGGCCATAAAAGAGGAATTCAGGACGATTCTCAGATTTTCGTGTGCTATAATCTATGCCATTTGCATGAATTCTCGGGCAACCGACGCCGAATCTCCTAAAAAACTTTGGGCCTATAAAAAGACCTAATGAACAATGGTCATCGTTTCGCCATGACCATTATTCGTTATTTGGCATTTTAGGACCATAAAACACAAATTCAGGACGATTCCCAAATTTTTGTATGTTATAGTCCACGCCATCTACATAAATTCGAACAGCAGGCCCCGAATCTCCTAAAGTATTGTGGGCCTATAAAAAACGACCTAATAAAATCGCTTCGGTATGATCGTTACTCGTTTTTTGGAATTTGAGGGTCATAAAACTAGAATTAAGGATGAATCACATATTTTCATATGATATCGTCCACGACATCTGAATGAATTCGAATGACCGACCCTAAATCTCCTTAAATTTTCCAAGCCCATAAAAACGACATAATGAACAACAGTCATCGTTTCACCATGACCGTTCCTCATTTTTTGGTGTTTTAGGCCCCTAAAAGAGGAATTCATGTCGATTCTCATATTTTCGTGTGTTATATAATCCACACAATCTCCATGAATTCAGGTGACCGACTCCGAATCTCCTAAAATTTTACGGGCCCATAAAAAATGACCTAAGGAACAATAGTAATTGCCCTGCCATAACTGTTCCTTGTTTTTTGGCATTTTAAGGCCCAAAGCTGGAATTCCGTCCTATTCTCAGATTTTCGTATGATATAGCCAATGTCATCTGCATGGGCCCGGACGACCGGACCCGAGTCATCTAAAATTTTGGATCATAAAAAACGACCTAAGAAATAATAGTCATTGTCTCGCCTAGACCGTTCCTCATTTTTTAGTGTTTTAAGGTCATAAAATAGGAGTTCCGCCTGATTCCCAAATTTTTGTGTGGTATAGACCACACCATCTGCATGGGTTTGGGCGACCGGACCCGAGTAGTCTAAAATTTCGCAAGACCATAAAAAGTAACCTAATAATCATCGTCTCACCATGACTGTTCCTTATTTTTTGGTGTTTTAGGGTCATAAAATTGAAATTCCGCCCGATTCTCAAATTTTTGTCTGCTATAGCCCATCCATCTGTATGGGTCCGGACGATCGGACCTCAAATGCCTAAAATTTTTCCAGACCATAAAAAATGACCTAAGGAACAATAGTCATCGCTTGATCATGATCGTTCCTTGTTTTTTGACATTTTGGGACCATAATACTGGAATTCCGCCTAGTTGGCAGATTTTCGTGTTGCTATAGCCCATGCCATCTGCATGCATCCGGACGACCAGACCCGAATAGCCTAAAATTTTGTCGGCCCATCAAAAATTACCTAAGGAACAATAGTCATCACTTCTCCATGACCGTTCCTCGTTTTTTGGCATTTTATGGCCATAAAATTAAATTTTTGCCTGATTTTTAGATTTTCGTGTGCCATAGCCCACGCCATCTGCGTACATCCAGACGATCAGTCCCGAATTGCCTAAAATTTAACCGGCCCATGAAAAACGACCTAAGGAACAATAGTCATCGTTTCGCCGTGACCGTTCCTCGTTTTGTGGTATTTTAGGGCCATAAAACTGGAATTCCGCTCGATAAGCATCCGGGCTACCGGATCCGAATCGCCTAAAATTTTGTCGGCACATAAAAAACAACCTAAGAAATAATAGCCATCTTTTCGCCATGATCGTTCCTCATTTTTTTGGCGCTTTAGGGCTATAAAACTGGATTGCGTCTGATTCCCATATTTTCGTGTGCTATTGCTTACGCCATCTGCATGCATCCGGGCGACCGAACCTGAATCGCCTAAAAATTTTGCCGGCCCATCAAAAACGACCTAAGGAACAATAAACATCCTTTCGCCATGACCGCTCCTCGTTTTTTGGCGTTTTAGGGCTATAAAATTAGAATCCTCCCGATTCATAAATTTCCGTGTACATGCATCTGGGCGACCGGAATCATATCGCCCAAAATTTTACCGGCCCATAAAAAACAACCTAAAAACAATAGTCCATTTTCAGCTTTTTGCATACATGTCCCACGTGGAGCAACTGCTCAAACTAAAAGATGTTTCACAAAAGGAAGAAGAGTTGCAGTTTTTAACCACAATATTACAAAACTCATTCATTAAAATGAGAAAATGACAGTTGAATCACAGATTATATTACATAGACTCAACTACAGGTACATGTCCAAAGTACGCGTGTTTAAGCATCCGATACAAGTATATGCAATTCCAGTGTATTTTGAAAAATCCGCACAACATATTTGAAAGGATATCTTGAGCTATCTTCCTCATACTCTTTTGATCAACTTGAATGTGAATTCGATCAGAAGGATAAGACGGACTCAAGCAATTCATGTGAAATTAGGTAACGGAAAGTGAAGTTGTGAGGAATCCAATCAATTTTCTTCAATATTTTGCCTTGATATTTCTTTATGAAATGTTCAGGTAACGCGTGTTGTATCATTTCCATCAAACCAGAAGGGCACAAATCACTTTCCTTCGCATAAGATTCAACATTCTTGGGTAGAAGTAGTTTTTGTTGCTTGTTTAACCTTGTGTTTGTCTGAAGGTACTCTTCTTTAGCCACTTCAAGCTCCTGGAATACTCTCTTTGGCGTGTACAACCGGAGCTAAACATAATACACGGAGTGAGAAGTGAAGCAAAACGAAACTAATATCAAAAGTAGAAAATAGTTTCTTTCCGTTTCAATTTATGTGACACACTTACCAGAGCATCAGAATGGCTTCCTGAGCATAGAGCAAAGCGTAGGCGAGGGTCTGGGCGCTCTATTGCATATCCTTTTCTTGCATCTCCAGCCTTAAACTTTTGCTTTGGAAAGAACAATGATTGAATCCACTATAGGAAAAATTAAGTTCAATAATCTCCATTTGAGAACACAAGTGAAACTCATTATTATACATAACATTTACAATAACGAATTAACAATCTATAATGCATGAACCAGAGAGAATCAGGGGACTGAAGTGAAGTACAAAAGCAAGAATGGGATTTACCTGACCTGCTCGGGGCAATCGACATCCTAGTATAGAACTCTGAATCATCTCCACATTTACTGTATTCCCTCCAATGTTATAAGCAGCCTGTAACATGAAAAATGTTCCATGTTATAAGCAGCTACTGATCTAGAGTGTTATCTATGAGTTCACGTGAACCCAATAGCTTTTACCCTATATGTATTAAGAAATCCACTAAATATTTATAGATATTTGACTATGGTCCCAACTATTACTGCATTAAGTTGTTGTAGAAACCCATAAACTTCAAATTCTGCTTCTGGACTTATAAGAACCATTGAAGCACCTAAATTAGTTTTCATAGACATCGGACTATTATTACCTTGAGAAGTTGAGATACTCTCTTGAGATTACTTCGCGGAATTCCATAAGCTAAGAATGCCTGCAACATATACAATGCTTGTTACTAACTCTTCACGTCCTGATACGCAGTATAGAAATTTGCTGAACTTTTAGCAACAGAAATGTTATTACATGCATCACTAGCGCGTTGTGGACATTAATCCAGAAAGCTAGCTTCTCTTCATGTTTCAGCTTTCTCGGATCAACCTCCTCCAATTTTGAAACTAGATACCTGTATTGGCAAGTTGGAGATTTTTCAGTACTAAGTTAAACATCTCGGAAATCTTACTGAAAAACTTTTGGTTTATGTTTAGGTACAATTCTTTATTTGCAAGAGGAAAATGCAAACTACAAATTGAGGTAGTAGCCTTACCTAAAATGTTGTAACATGTGATCTACACCATCTAACCTCCGTTTATCTCGACAAAGCCCTTGCACTTCAACCATTGTGACAAAAGATCCACTAAATTCTCTCGAATCTTTAACATGAAAAGGGTTATTCATTGTTGAATTGGAAGATGAACTTTCTTCGCATTGTAAAGTCCCCATATCGTTCTGACCTTGAGGAAAAGATTCCAGCGTTGATGATGATAACGAGATTGGAGAGAACGGGTAATCATAACTGAACAAAGGGGGATCAGCAAGCTGAAAATATATGGCTGATATACACTTAATCATTTCTTCAGACAGCTGGTTTGGGACACGACGAAAATGATTTGAACAACTGTTAACAATATGTTCTGCTGTTCTTCCATTTGAAGTGGATACCTGAGCATGCTGGTTACAATTACATGATACAATTTTGACATTGTCATCGCATCACAAATAGATAATCGCAATACTAAGTCTAGTCATTAATCATACGGCTTTAAATAACCACACAAACAAAGTAGTAGACTCCTCCTATAACTAAAAAGTACTCGACAGACATATCCAAGATTTAAACTGTACGGTTCAGATTCGGAATTCAGATTCGGAATTCTACCACTGAGAGACGGATTTAGAATTTCTTGAACATGGGTGCCCACCAAAAAAAGTAGAAAAAAAGAATTAAGTGGGAATCGATCATTGTTCCTCACGATAAATAACCCAATATTCAACCAAATACATCATTCAATCGTTTGGCAGCATGAGTGCCAACAAATGATATTAGACTAATTCTAGAAAATACGTACATAAAACACCTAGTTTGACGGAGAGACCATGGTTCACGTGCCCCGTAATTAGGGCTAAAAATCCTCCCCTGCTACCACATGCCGTCGAATTGAATGAGTTCAAAATATAATACATATTCAATGAATTTTTTGACTATTATATAGGGTCTGAGCCGAAATTACGGGCTCAGTTGAATCTATAGCTTCTATTCTAGATACGCCCGTGCTCTTGCTATAACTAAAAGACTGAATATTCTAGCAAATCAAATAATAGACTCCTCCTACAGCTAAACAACTAATTATTCTATAATACTGTGAACTTTAAATGCATTGCATTCTCTAACATTACTTACCTCAAGCATTGATAAAGGCAAAGAATGGTATGAATCTACAGCATCAGCAAGAAATCCGACTGAAGGCGAAGGCTTAAAAGAAGCAGCAGTGTGAGACAATGAAGAGTGGCTTCTCACAATAGTAGTGTCAACTAGGTTTGGAGCTCCTGCTGTCACATTACATTCTTCTCGTGGATTTTCGAAAGGCGACGGAGAAGGACTAGTACTGTTAGTTATTGGATTTTCCATGGATTTGTTGTTGTGTTTCTTGACTTCTGAAAGTTTCCTTTCTTTGGACAGTGATTCTAACCGCTTAGCGAATGTTTTCCGGTATAGTGAAAGAAGATACTTCTCTAAATACATAACTTCCAGCTCCAAAACAGCAACTTCTTTTATCAGTTCCTCATTAGCAGTCTACAAGCAAATAGAAACAAAGAAAAAATAGCTGAGCAAAAAGTCGATTTGATCAGTGTAATGAGTCTAAAATAGGATAGCCGGATGCACTAAGCTCCTGCTATACGCGGGGTCCGAGGAAGGGTCGAACCACAAGGGTCTATTGTATGCAGACTTACCCTTCTGTTATCACGGCTCGAACCCGTAACCTCTTGGTCACATGGCAGCAACTTTACCAGTTACGCCAAGGCTCCCCTCCAATGAGTCTAAAATAGGCAGAATTGGAAATATAAGATTCATATAGCCGATTCCAACTAGTTTGACGTGATGACTTAGTTGATCGATTGACTGGATTGCTTGCAGTCTATTTTACAGCTGAAGATTTATTTCAGTCAGTTCTTTTCTTCTTTTTTTGTAAGTTTCAGTGTCTCCAGCTAATCTTGCTACCCCTTTTTCTCTCTATATGAAAAACCATAATTTTGTAACTAAAATAGCAAGTACAAATAAAGGGCAGCCCGGTGCACTAAACTCCCGCTATGCGCGAGTCCAGAGAAGGGTCAGACCACAAGGATCTATTGTAGGTAGCCTTCGAAAGAGCAAGTACAAATGTCAAATGAAAATTTGGTAAACAAGCTTCTTACATCAACTTCTTCCTTAGAAAAATTATGATTTTCATTGACTGGTATTTGTCTTTTCAGCTCAGCATAATTCTTCTCTAGCCCCATATCCTGCTGCATAATGAAACATAAACTGTTTAAATGAGAACAGATATTGACAACTGTTACCCAAAAAGAAACAGGACCAAGTGATCAAGAACATCCAAAAAACATTAAATGCTAACAATTAAAAAGAGGGCCACGTAAAGATCTGCTCTATAATTAGGAGCAGATGAGGGAGATTAATTACTCACCAAACAAGTATCCTAAGAAAATTAATCAAAACTTCTATATAATGGCAAAGAGGTTCAATCTCATAATATATTCCTAATCAGTGTTATGCTGTAGCATTCGATTTTCCAATCAAAGTTGTTGGAAAGAAAGTGAATGGTATCATTGGTTAAAAACAACTTTTTTTCTCCCCTCCTTTAGTTGACTAGTAAAGATTTGAGAGAAAAAAAACCTTTTTTTTTAATGAGGAACGGGCGGCTGCTACAGCCTCTCCCGAACACTCTGCACGGGTAAACCCCGTGCAATAGCCCGCAAATCACACAAGGGATGTAAACGGTAATCGGTATGGATGACCACCTTCCAAACCAACTGAGCATTCCAGAAGGGACAAAAAAAATCTTTACTTTATGATCTTAATATATAATATTTTTTAACTATTAGACTTTTGAAATTTATAATATTAAATACGCATGTCATAATATTTATGTAGTTCTAAAGAAATACACAAATGGATCTTTTTTTTTAGGAACATAAATAGTGTCAAAGTTTTACCCACAAAAATAGACATGACTAGCGAGTCCATTTCACACTACCTTTTGTACAATTATTTTTATCTATTTAATTAATTTCCACTGTTTGCAAATTTTGTTAAGGAGCGTCGCTCGTTTGTGGTTCTTGAAAATGTGGCTATTTTGACTAGTCACTTGTCTTAAAAAGCACTAGAGCCTTTGTCGTGGCCACTTTTTCCTTTTGCATGGTGGGAGCTTTTTCTTTGCATTAAAAGTAAAATTAGCTAGTGACCTTTTTAAATTAAAAAAAAAAAGTTACAGATGGTAGATTAAATGGTAAAAAGTAACAATATTTTCTAATGCATTTGCCCGATAATCAAATGACGAAAACAAAAGCTAACAGATTTGTACCACGTAAAATGTTCTAGAAGGCATGTTTGGCAAAATTTTATGGGGTTAGGACTAGTTTTATGAATTGAGTCTAGCCAAGATTTTATCTCGCACGTTTTTAATTTTACTTGTATTATTATTGTCTTAAGCAAATCAAGCACACATAAGTAAATTATTATGTAGCTACGTGCGGATGTATCTTAGGTGGCACGTATAGGCACACCCAGAGGCGTATGTAATGTTATAGAACCTCGTCCATGTACTTTTGATACAGAGTATAAATTCTTCAAAATTATAATATATAGTGGGTCTGAACCTATAACTTTAAAAATATACAAAATTCAATACTAATAACCGTAAATGCTGAATCCATAAAATTAAAATACTGGATCCGCCTCTGGCACACCCACTAATTTCATATTAAAACTTTATATAAAATCAAGATTTTGAAAAATATAAATGCAATAATTCATCTATTGTTACAAAAAAAAAAAGTGCTGAACGTAGTTGTTCTTTGTTGGCAAGTTCTCTCAAGGAATATGTAAAACATATTATTACTACATTGTATGCCACAAGATTGGAAAAAGAATTGTTGCTAATCATGATTAGAGAACCAATGATGAAATGCTAACAAAATAAAAGATATGGAACCTGGAACAGTATTAATTAGTATTAAAAATAATTGTTTTCTCTTTTCCACCTCTATACGTAAATCAGAGTAGGACCATATCACTCAATCAGAGGGAAGACAAATCTTTATCAGTAGCTGTTGAGATACAAAGTAGGAGTGGGATTTTAGCTTTTAGCCATTGACAAAGGTCATGCACTATAACAAGAAGAGAATAGCAAGAGTCACCTCAAAAGAGNATATATATATATATATATATATAGTAAAAGAAATTTTTAAGCAATACGGACCATGCATATATGTTTTTAGTCAGTGTTTTAAATGGAGTGGACATAAGGCGAAACATTTTACATGTGCCTCAGCGAGGCGTAAGCCCTATAAGTATTTAATTTTTAATATTTTATAAAATAATATAATTATACTAAATATTTAAACATGTAAAATTGCATAAAATTGAAGAAAACTATACATATACATACATACATACATATATACATACATACATATATATATATATATATATGTGTGTGCGTGCGTGCGCGCGTGCTCCATCCCCACAAAAAAAAATTAGTCAAAACAATATATTATATGCTACTTACAATCACAAGTAACTTGAATCTAAAAGAATAAAGTTTTTTAAATGGAGGAACAAAAAGGATGACCAACCTGCAATTTAAACTTTGAACTTGCTACTACGAAGGAGAATGGAATTCTCTTTGTATTTGTAAAAAAAATTGAATATTCGTTATTTTTGGGAGATATTAGCAGACTAGGAGACAAGATAAAAAATTGGAAAAGACCATGAATTAGGGCTTCATTCAATAAAAAAGGACTTGACTTTTACATTTCAGTTCCTTTTTAAAACTTTTGAGTAATTATCAAGCTGATTTTTGAAAAATTCGATATTATATGAAGGACTTATTCAGCAAATTTTGTTTTAATTTTAAAAAGTCTCTCAGGCTTACGTCTCATTGAAAAACGAGCCTCAAATGCCCGAGCGTACACCTCAAACGCCTGGGCGTATGCCTCTTGAGACTTTCACCCCACACCATCGCCTCAGGGTGTTTTTGGTGCGCTTCGCCATAGGGCTTGTCCCGAAAACGCCTTTTAAAACGTTGTTTTTAATTACCATTAACATAGTAGTTTGACGTGTTGCTATTAAAAGCAATGGCGGAGTTAGAAATTTACTTGAGGGTGTTCAAACTTGAAAGAAGTGGAAAAAAATTTCAACAAAGGGTATTCAGAATATGTTATATAGAGGGCGAAGCAAGCCCATCGAGTACGGGTTCGACCGAACCCAGTCGCATTGGTCCAATCCATGTATTTGTCTTAAAAAATTCATTGAATATGTACAAATTATTAATTTAGAACCCAGTCACTTAAAAGGACTATAGCTCCGAACCCATAAGCTTTAAATTTTGGCTCCACATCTGGTTATATATCTTAAAACCTAATATTTTATCTATATATATGCAGTGTAATTTTTTCGACGGACCACCCTTTAAAATCTTCGCCCATAATTAAAAGTTTTTTTTAAGATAGATTGACAATCAATTACTTACAATATAAAGTAGAAAATTACTTAAACCCTTTATTTTAATGTTTGAAACTGTAGCCATGCCCATAATATGAGCCTAAACGTGTGAGGTAAAAAGATCTTGAGAGAACGCTCCACTATTTTTGAAATTCGATCAAATCGATCGAGAATCTCATCATCGGGCGTTCTTGTTGTCACTCATAAGAAAAGGAAACAGAATTTGTTAGCGAGTCAAAAGCTCAATTCACTGCATATATGTTTGCAGAAAAGAGCTCTTTTTCTTTGCATGCTTTTTATCAGTCATTAGTCATCACCAAAACATTCTTGCTGAAGTTTCATATACTGCCTTTTTTTGGTTTTAGAGGATAACAAACACCACGTGTGACTGATTTTCTGCCTTTTGTCAATACATGAGGGTCTATCTTTTTGTGCACTTTTAGAAGAAAAACCGACATGCTGATAATTTTTGTTTATACATTTATAAAATAAACTTTTGGAAAAGTTTTTAAAAGTTAGATAGGAGAATAAAGGAGGAGAAAGAAGTTTTTTCTTTTTGAGATTTTATAGTATTGGATATATAGCTTGAAATGTTACTTTACCTTTTAGTCATGCAGCAGGCTTATTTTTCCAAAAAGAAAAGATCAAAGTAGATAGATTATAAGGGGAAAATGATATCCTATTTTATTTCCCCATATCTCGCGCATAGCGAGAGCTTAGTGCACCAGACTGCCTTTATGTTCTCTCGTTCATAAAAAATTCGGCAAAGAGCCAAATATACCCCATCTACTTTCAAATATTGTTTACCTGTACCTCTCGTCATACTATTGGACTATCCATACCTCTGGCGTCATACTATTGGGTTATCTATACCCTACTGTCATACTTTGGAACAAAAATACCCTTTTTTGGATGGAGTGTCACGTGGCAGCACCAGATTAAAATAGCCCATTTCTTTTTTTTTTTTACCCAACTCATTTTACAAAAAAACCACAACCCGAACCATATTTTCAGTTTTCAGTTTTTTATGTTCTCTCCTTCATAAAAAATTTCACCTCCTTCCCTTTCCTCTTTTTAGACTTTCTCATTTGCCTTTGATTATTTTCACCTATCATTTTCCTATTCAACTTCTCTTTATTAAGTATCCTAGGATAAAGGTATCCTATGCAACAAGAAAATATTCAAGTGTAACCAATTTTGACTTGGGTAATTTTTGAAATTATCCTAAGTGAGATCGCAATGAAGTACATTTGGAATTGATATATGTAAAAAGAAAGTAACTATGAAGTCCATCATAATTAATAATTGTTGGAAAATCAAAAATAAAGGCAGTAAATACTTTGGCTCATGGCCATCATGATAAAATTAATTAGTGGGTATCTTAAAAGAAACCCTAGTTGTTGTTAAGACGAAAAATATATACTGATTGTTTGAATTTTTTGACAAAATAGTTTAACTGGTTGTACCAAATTATTTATTATGTAGATTATCAACTCACGTATCGTCTTCCTAATTATGTAATTTTTGTGACTGGAATGAAAGGACCACGCCACCAGACGGCGCAATTTGATTTTATTTTATTTTTTTAAAAAAAAACACTCACGCACAGCATTACAGTATTCTGCATATATTGTCAATATCTCAACAGCCAGGGATTATTATGAGTATAAGATCGTTGAAAAGTTACGATAAAGATAATTAAGTGTTAGACGGATTTAAGCTAATTAACTATTGAAATCAAACTATAAGGAGAAAAGGTAACCTAAGTACTGGTAATGCCCTTATATTTACATATATACGAGTGGTGTTAGCATTATGGTATATTTTAATGATGACAAGTCAATGGTAAACAATAAGTACTAATTAGAATAATATTGCAGGTTTTGATCAAAGATGATATCGAGTAGATATGGCGTGAGATAGCCACTTTTTAATATGGTATTTAATTTTTATCTAGTATTTTAAATGTTGAGCAAAAATAGTCACTACTCTATTAAAATTAATACAAAAAGATATTTTTACCCTTTTTTCATGAGTGTTATGTAAATATTAAGGACATGGTCCTTAACATTTACATAAAGTTAAGGACGCCATGTCCTTAACATTTACATAAAGTTAAGGACGCCATGTCCTTAACATTTACATAAAGTTAAGGACGCCATGTCCTTAACATTTACATAAAGTTAAGGACGCCATGTCCTTAACATTTACATAAAGTTAAGGACGCCATGTCCTTAACATTTACATAAAGTTAAGGACGCCATGTCCTTAACATTTACATAAAGTTAAGGACGCCATGTCCTTAACATTTACATAAAGTTAAGGACGCCATGTCCTTAACATTTACACTGCACATATGAAGTTAAGGACATGACATGACACTTTGTACCCTTAATATTTACATAGTATTCATGAAGTTAAGGACACTATGTCCTTAATATTTACACAGCACCAATGTCTAGCATAGGGGTATTTTCGTCCGGACAAATAAAAATTTATTAAGCACTAACTAAAGAGTAAATGTATTTTAAACAGTGATTAAAGAATAAAGACATCTCTATTTAGTGGCTAACTGTGCACTTCCTCCTGATATCGATCTACAAGCCCAAACTCAAGTTGGAGCGATATCTGAACTTCGATCCCAAACTGAGATGACTAGAAATTGCTATACAGAATGATGAAACAGGAAAGAAGAAGACAATAATGCGGCCCAGTTGTTCAAAATATTCGAGGCCCAAACGAAAGATGAATGGCTAAAGTTGCAAAAGAAGAAGGGCAAAATTACATATTTAGCCGGTCGGCCAAGAGTAATTATATCCGCTAGTTAATTATATAAAAAATGTATACGGATTATGTATAAAATATGTATGCTATATATTCTATATAAAAAATATTTATTTTGCCGGTTATTATTGATGCGCTCAAGATTGACGGAATAAAATTTCATTGGGCCAATGCACAAATTAAGCTTGGATTGTAANCATTTAAAAATAATACTTCTAAAGCATAAGAAGGTATAAACAAATAAAAAGGAAACATAAGAAGAATTTGAACCCCATATGTATGTATATATATATATATATATATATATATATATATATATATATATAAACACGCACACACACACACTAATAGTGTAAAGTATTTTATATTGTTAGTGTAATTTAACATGTTATATCAAGTTAGTTATCATTTTTACTAAGTTAGAAATTAATAGATATTATATATATTTATCTGTAATTACTTTTAAGTCATGACATGATCTTGTAAATATATAACTTTTCTCTAAATTAATGAATTGGAGGTGCAAGTTAGGTTAGAACTAAGTGTAAAATTATTAATATGGATTGCAATTATTTTAAACAGAAGTTTCTTAAAAAGTTAACAGAATTACATTGTATTGACTAGAACGAATTATAGAAACATAAGATTTCTGAAAGTGATAGTTAATTTAAGCTTAATTCACTGAGGTAAAAAAAATAATTCCAATTCAAAAATTAACGGTCCTTTTTAGAAGTTATATACCAGCTATAAGAAAGTCGGATCGTCAGAATTTTAGTTTTATCTAGTTGTGCAATCAATGTAATTTACTTGATTCCAACAAGCTATTTATCCTTTTTCCTAAATTACGAAGACATGCTTAGTAGGCGTTGGACATAAGAATCGTAAAATTTCAAAGAAAAAGTGAAAATAGTATTCGAAAATTAGAGGTTGTATTTGGAAACGAATATAATTTTGGGTTGTTTTTGAAGTTTTGTGAGTAATCCGAGTGAAAATTTTGAAAAATAGCTTTTTGGAGTTCTAAATTTTCGAAAAAATTCAAAATGCATCTTCAAGTGAAAATTAAAAAATTTATGACCAAACACTAATTTCGAAAAAAATTCAAAAATTTCTTATGTCCAAACAGGCTCTTTAACATAGTCACTTACTCCAACTTGCTATTGCTTTTTATTAAGTGATCTAATTCAGTAAACATCTGCTACGCTTACGTAGGATAGAAACAGTAATTACATGCTATAAGCAGGGGCAGAACTGTCAATTCAAGGGAGGAATCTCATAACCGACTTTTCCCGCCCTGAGAAATTGCAGTTATACCTGCCGAGACCCTCTTCACGCATATACCACTTACTCTTCTCGATTCATCTTTTTCACATACACACACTCTCAAGCAACAACAATGGAGATCCCTCAAAATCTCCTTCTGATTCTCATTTCTCTGTTCATCTCCGCCGCATCCGCCACTTTCCCCGACTCACTTCCGCCGCTAACTCCATCTCCGATGATTTCTCCTCACGACCACACTTCTCTCTTCGCCACCATTCTCTCTTCTCTCGGATTTCAGCAGCTCTCCACTGCAGCAACCGCCGCCAATCTCACCACCACCACCACTCCAATCACCGTCTTTGCTCCCGCCGACTCTTCTCTCATCACTTGTCCTACTTGTTCCCTCCCTCTTCTCCTTCAGGAACACTCTGTTCCTGGCCTTTATCCACTTCACTTCCTTCGCACTTTAGCCTTCGGTACTAAACTCGAAACCCTAGCTCCGAATCGCTGTCTTACTGTCACTTTCTCCACTACTACTCGTGACGCGAAGATTTTCATCAACGGCGTTGAAGTCACTCAGCCGGATCTGTTCAATAATGGCTTGATCCTTGTGCATGGATTACGTGGCTTCGTATCACACCTCTCTCCGCTTTCCTGTAATGTGGAGAGAATGAGTTCTCTGTCATTTGATTCGTTTCCTATTCCTAATTCGGTGTCTACAGTGTCCTCTGCATCGCCTTTCTCTATCATGCGCTTCATGCTAAAGGACGCCATTATCAGGTTGCGTAACAGCGGTTACAGTATTGTAGCACTGGCGCTGAGAGTGAAGTACGCTGAGCTTTCCGAGCTTAAGGCGATGACGGTGTTTGCGTTAGATGACGTTTCGATTTTTGCTAGTGGAGGACATGCGTATCTCTCGAATTTTAGGTTTCACGTTGTGCCGAATAGGAGGATTATGGCTGGGGAAATGGTGAGTTTGCCGGCGGGGACAGTGTTGCCGACGATGGACGGCGAGGAGAAATTGGTGGTAACTACTGCTGGCGGAGGAGGCGTGTTAGCTCCAATGAAGGTTAATTACGTGAGAATTATTAGTTTTGATCTGCTGCATAACAGTAGGATTGTGGTTCATGGAGTGTCGGTTCCATTTCCTCACATGCATCATCTCACGGCTGATCAGAAAAGCTTTGCTCAGTTGGAACAGTCACGCGCTCACTGTGATGTTTCTGGAAACGGTGGAGTGTGTGACGTCAGTCATGATGATTTTGCGCCAGCTGGCATACGATCAGTGATGGTGAATAATATGGAAGAGCATGAAGGTCTCTGAAACTTAAATACTGTTTGTTTGACTCATATCAAAACTATAGAGTAAATAATTGAATTTCACTTGATCATTCTTCTGCTATAGTGCAAGTTACATGAGTATTATTGTTTTTTTGTAAAATGAGGTTACAATTTCTAATATGAAGAGCACTTGTAGTATGTTTGGCCACTGATTTGTTATTTCCTGTATTTTTCTTGCCAATTTTTTCTGTTTTGGGTCCAAATTTAGAACCAGCTAGCATACGACATTTTGCCCATGTATAATAAAGCTAGAGATTGATTAAATGGGATGCTCATTGTTTCAATGGTGTTGAAGAGCCAGAAAATGTAAACACAGCAATGATCGATAAAAATGGAGAAGACGTAGAATCCTTCGTATTTTTGGTAAACAAGATTATTATTTGGGTAGAATAAATGTAAAGTCCAAGTTATCTTCTAAGCTAATTTCCTTATTTATAATTTAAATGTTAATAAAAATAAAAACATTTTAGAACTTACTTGTAATAGGCTTTAAAATTACCTACCAGTGTAAAAACGAGTTTATGCCATCGGTGGATACTAGTTATTATACTCTTTATAGTAATGAACGAAAGCTAGGTGTATTGTGTAATGATTGAGTTTGTACTTATCCTCATTTGTTTGCAATTAATAAGGGTGTATTGTGGGCCGGGCCCAGCCCGGGACCGCTAGCAAACGGGCCAAACGAGCTGGTTCAAACGGGCCGGTCCCTAACGGTCCTAAAAGCTCACTGTGGGTCGGTCCTCCCCAAATAGACCGCGAGCCTGGGACCGTTTAACCCGGGACCGACAGGTGGGCATGGGCCGGTTCAACCAGGCCAAACGACTATTTTTCAAAAAAAAAAAAAATTTAAAAAAGGCCAACGGTTAGAAGTTTAAAAACTAGCCGTTGGCCTGCAATTTTAGCCATTTGACTTTTTCAAAAAATAGCCATTTGGCCCTCAAACTTTTTATAATTACACTTTTTCTCTATTTTCAACTATAAATACCCCTCATCTTTCATTTTTACTCACAAATTTATCAATCTCTCTCTAATTTTCTTCTATAATTGCTTACTTTATTATTGCAATTTTGTGAAAACTTGTGAAGTTGGTGAATTGAAGTATTCAAGTCTTCAAGGATATACAATTTTCAAGAAGTTGTTCGTCAATTCGGTAAACTCGTTCTAACTTTTAAGTTTTAATATTATAATTTTGTTTGTTTTAGTTTGTATAATTATAATTAATATGGCCTTTTTCTTTGAAAAAAATATTTGGTGGGAAGGGAAAATCTAAAATTGTTGAATCTAGTCGCCAAGCTACTACTCCTCCCCCAGCTCCCCGACCCAGACATGTTACCCGTCCTCCTCCACCTGTTATTCTTGATAGTGATAACCCTTATTTTCAATTTTCTGATAGTCAATTTTGCCATGATGTTGCACCAGGTCAACAATTAAATGACGGAGTTATGAATGCTTTTTATCCTAATCAAACTATCTTTGAAAATGATGAGGAAAATGATGATTTAGATGAAACGCAACCGGATTTAGATGATACACCTACTAGTCCTGTTAATAACCCAACTGATAATAATTCAAATGATGTCCCTCCTGACCCTCCTATAGTAATCCCTACTTTTAATAGACAACCTTCTAAACGGGCCGAAACATCTCTTGTTTGGCACTTTTTTTACTCAACTAAGAGAACAAAATAAAGCTAAGTGTAAAACTTGTGGGTCTTTGATGACTCATAAATATACTGGAGACCTTAGCGGTACGGGTACTTTGACTAGACATATAAAGAAACACCCTAGAGATAAAGCTAGATATTTACAAATGAAAGCTGCTCAAGAGGGGAGAGGTGTAGATATTGAGGTTAACCCTAGTACAGGGTCAAATCTAGTTCAACCGAGAACTAACACTGTTACCGGTGGCATTTTATATTATGATCCAAATAAAGATCGTGAAGAATTGGCAAAAATGGTTACTATTATGTGCTTACCCTATAGTTTTCCTTCTAATCCTCACTTTGTGCATTATATTAGAAGAGTTTTTAATCCTACTTATAAAGGATGGCCTCGCGCAACTGTAACGAGCGATGTTTATAAATATAAATATGAATATGAACAATATTTGCGCTATTTATATACTCATATAGATTATAGCATTGCTATTACTACTGACATTAGTAGAAGTGGTAGTGACTGTGATTATCTAACTGTTACAAGTCATTGGATTGATGAGGACTGGATAATGCAAAAGCGCATTATTGCTTATAGAATAATTAATTCACGCCATACAGGTAAGTTTATTGCTAACACAGTTGCAGATATTTGTAGATATTTTTGCATTAGAGAAAAAATAATGTCAGTTTCAATAGATAATGCTTCTAGTAACACTAATGCTATAGGCTTGCTTACAACTACACTAAATCCTGCATTTAGTAATATTTTCCATGTTAGATATATTTGTCATATTTACCATTTAATCGTCGGTGATGGTATAAAAATTTTAATTATGGAAATTGAAAAGGTTAAAATGGCTCTTAATTGGCTTTTTTATTCAAACCGTTTAGAGAATATTTTAAAAAAAGTGATGAATTTGGCTTTAGAGAAAGAAAGGTTCCTAAACCTTGTCCGACTAGATGGAATTACATGTATGAAAGTTTAGTTGTTGCATATGAATATAGAAATCCAATAAACGCAACGTATAATGCTCGTGTTGGTGGTGGTGATGATGATGATGATGATGATGAGCACCTTACAAATCAGGATTGGACTAATGTTAAAATGCTTGTAGACTTTTTAGAACAATTTCATATTGCTACAAATGAATTATCTCGGCAATATTATCCTACTATTTCTAACTGTTTAGTTTATATTGCAGCACTTGCAGATTTGTTTACTCAATTTTCAGAGGGTGGGGTAATTTATCAACTTGCTATTAATTCTATTAAAGATAAGTTTAAAAAATATTTTTTCCCTATCCCCCTAGTTTTGGTGTTGTTGCCATGTTAAATCCTACCATGAAATGAGGAGGTCCTCACTTTTGATACACAAAAATTTATAAGGCTTTATCACTTTCAGATGAGGAATTTGCTACACTTGGAGATGCAAAAGCCTCAATTAAAATAAATGCTCAAACAATTTATAATGCTTATCAACTTGCCTTAGTTCATGATAGACCAAATGTTCCAGCTCCTACTTCGTCTAGTTCGCAATCATCTAAAAGAACTGCGGGCCTAAAAGCACATAGTTCTTGGACGGAGTTCAGGAGTTCTCAAGGTGATAATATTGGTGATAGTTCACAACTAAATGAGCTTCAAGTTTATTTGTCGCAGGGACTTGAATCAGAGAATCCTGGCGGCTCCTTTGATGTCTTGGAATGGTGGAAGGACAAACAAAAACACTATCCGGTTCTTTCAAGGATGACTCGAGATATTTTAAGTGTTCAAGCTTCAACAGTGGCATCAGAGAGCGCTTTTAGTCAAGCGAGACTTCAAATCGGTGATCATAGAGCGTCTACGAGGGAGAGCTTGGAAAAATCAGTACTCTTCAGAGATTGGATCCGTTCGGAAAGAAAAACTTTTGGACTTGCAGAATCACAATCGGAGATAGATGAAGCTTATGAAGAAATGCTAGCGGAACTTGCGCAGGATGCTGCTTCGCCCGTAAGCGGTGATGAACAAGCTTCTTTTCCGCCACCACCAACGAAAATTCCTCCGGACCTTAAAGGATTTATGAAATTTGTTAGAGATAATACATAGACTAATATGTAACTTGTATTTTGGCAGATCTTCCTTAGCTTTTTTTCCTTTTAATGGTGGTATTGGTACCTTGTTGTGCTCATTCTATTGGGGGGAGGAAGACTAAGAAAGATATTGCCATTTTGTTAATGTCGTAATAATAAAAATTATAAGACATTCCCTTGAATATTTCTTTTCAATTTATTTTGTGTTTAAATTTTATATATATATAAGGCAATATATACAGAGGCGGATCCAGGATTCCAAGGAGATGGGTGCACAACTACAAAGAAATGAATCTAGAATTTATATTTGACGGGTTTAACCTGTAATTTTTTACCATGAATTCATTACCATTTTGAAATTATAGATTAAAATTAATTTTTTTTCTCGTAATTTTAGTGAATTGTAACATATATCTATATTCCGTATCAAAAATATTGGGATCATTGTACCATGCTACATCATCCACTGCTATTAATTTTAATTATATAAATTTTTGTGATGACAAAAAGAAAATAAAGGATTTCAATGTGTTAGATTTGGAAATTTTGAATGAATAAATCAAACAAAAAAAAAAGGAGAAGAAAAAACTTAATTAAAACACAAGAAGGGACACTAGATATGCCAACAAACTGAGAATTGAACATCTAACATAAGAAGGTGCACTGAATATTTATTGCACTATAGAACTCTTTGAGCTTGGGTGCACACATATATATTTAAGCATATTTAAAAAAAATATATAAAATAAATATATATGGTATAGAGGTAGGAGCATGGGTGCATGTGCACATGGGGCATGGGACACATGCACCCATGCTCCTCCCTCTATACCATATAGCCCGGAACATTTAGGCCCGTTTAGGCCCATGGGCATGGCTCATTTAGTCCGGGGCCATGTGGGCTTAGACCCATAGTGGGTCGGTTCCACCCGTCAGGCCCGTTTGGCCCGGGACTGTTTGGCTTGGGACCGCCAAAGACTGGCCCGCCAAAATCCGGTACCGTTAAGCCCGGCCTGTTTAGCCCATTTAGGCTCGGGCCCGGCCCAGAATACAGCCTTAGCACTTAATGAACTCTGAATCTTAATTATTCAGATCTCACACATTAAGTGTGTTTGTTTTTAAGGTGATCTGAATCTTAACCATTTAGATCTTAATCATTAAGTGTATTTATTTTTTTACATACTTTACAACCACTTAAGCCTCATTTATTTTTTTTAAGATTAAGACTGTCACACCTCTTTTTTCCTACACCCGAAGGGCATAAGGGAGTTTTTCCAATTAAAGGACAATCGAAACGGGATTATTTATATTAAGAAATTCAGAATCGCCACTTGGGATATTTATGGTGTCCCAAGTCACCGGTTCAAATCCCGAATCGAGGAAAAGGTTGACTCTGTTTTACAGTCTGCGGATCAGAAATTTGGGTAAGGAATTCTGTTAATCCGGGAGAAGGTGTTAGGCATTCTCGAGTTTCGTGGTTCTAGCACGGTCTCTCAACTATTATTATTGGCCTAATTATCTGATTTTAAAACACTATCAAACCTATGTGCATTTTCAACTATTAAACCGCTTTTAAATCACTTGATTTATTCGTAATTAAAGAATTGAGTTACGCGTACATATACTCTTTTCCTTTGGCGCGTCAAAAATTATGTCACGCGAACGTGTCCACAATTAATAACACTTTGTTTATTTATTTAAGAAAATTTGATTGAGGTTGCGCAAACGCATCCCTCGAGTCTTTTTTAGAGTTAAATTCGCAATTATGTTACGCGAACGTATACATAATCATAATACTAATCTAAATCGAGCCTAAAGCAAACTACGAAAATTATTAATTATTTTTCTAAAGCTAATTTAAGATTATTATGAAGGCCATGTTATGAAAATTAATATAGAAAAAGAGATAGATTATTTACAGAAAGATGAAACTAGCTTGTGAATTTTTATTAGCTCTTGGCCAATCAGACTTGAATTATCTAAATCCAAACGGCCAAAAATCTTTATTGCTTCAAACCAAAATATGAGGTTCGGTTGCTAAACAATTTTTAAACAAAAGGCTCAAGTATGGAAATAAATCATCTATTAATTGAATGCATAAAAAAAAAGATGGATCAATCATGCCAAACAAACAACAGAGAAAGAAACTTCACAATTGCGTACATTTACTCTAATTTGTGTTATACGTAATGTGTAATGCTGAAAGAGAATCTTTACT